TTTGTTGATATTATAGATAATTTTTTCTATTTAAAATCTTTAAGAAAATTTTCTCTTTATTTATGATTGAGCTTAATTTTTTAAATTATATTTTCTCTCAGTGGAAGGAGAATTTTTTTTCTATTTAAAATTTTTTCAATATTAATTTATTTTATTTAAAAATTTCAATTTTTTTTTCTATTGGTGGAGGTGGAGATTATTGATTTTTTTCACAAAGTTGGAAGGTTCATTTTTGTCACATGCGTTTTCACATTCAACTGATTTGAAATGGATTTGGTCAAAATTATTTGGTTTTTTTCCTATTCAACTGGCTTGAAATGAGTTTGGTCAAAGTGGTTTTATTTTTGTCATATTGATTTTTATATTGAACAAGTTTGAAACTGGTTTGGTCATTTGAATCTAACACACAATTTTTTTCTCCATTTTTTCACGCTATCAACTATATTCTATAATTTCATTAGTAGTAATATTTTGTCACACCGTAGCTTTTTTTTAATTGATGGAGTAGAAACGACATCGTTTTCTATTTTATCTGTAACTATTATGTTTTGAATCTGATACACAGTACTCTTTTTTTATTTTCTCACGCTATCAACTATCGACCATCCTATTATTTTATTAGTAATAATTTTTTTTACATAATAGTTATTATTTATTTCTAAAATGTAAAAAGTTAATTATAACTAAAAAGATCACTTCAAGTTATTTAAAAGTAAAACAAACTTATAATTGTAAAAACTACTTATAAGTTAAAAAATATTAACTTAATTTTTTTTAAGTATAAATATTTAGATATCTTTAATTTTTAAATTAAATATTAATAAAAATATTACACTATTTAGTATGTAAAAAATTACGTATAAGTAAAAAAGCACTTCAAGTTATTTAAAAATAATAACAAAATTTATAATTGTAAAAGCTACTTATAGGTAAAAAAAAATATTAATCTCTCATTCTTTTATAATTGCAAAAGCTACTTACTGGTAAAAAAATATTAACTTAAAATTGTTTAAGTATAAATATTTAGATATATTTATTTTTAAATTAAATATTAATAAAAAGATTAGATAATGTAAAAAGTTACTTATAAGTAAAAAAATCACTTCAAGTTATTTAAAAGTAATAAAAAACTTATAATTGTAAAAGCTGCTTAGATAAAAAAATATAAACTAGAACATTTTTAAGTAAATATTTAGATATATTTAATTTTTTACAATTAAATATTAATAAAAAATACTATAATTAAAAAATAAATAAATAACATATACGTGGT